GGGAAATTAAGGATTTATATCACCCGTGCGGTCCTTGAAAACTGCAGATTGAATTTATTTCGCATCCTTTAGAGTTTTTTTTTTACAATTCGCTCGAGGGTACTTGGAAATCTCCAGTGGCACTTGTTCAGTACAAGTTTTACACTCGACAACATTAAGCACTTGACTTCAGGTAACCTGTTTTCATGTTTCACTAAGCTTACCTGTAAATTCCGACTTTGCTCGATGTGCACAGAAAACGTTCATGGCCCTTTTTCAGGTTTTTGTCAAAAGGTAAAGTTTCAGGCTTTGTATTAAGAGAGTTTCTGCATTAAAAAAGCTGGGAGGACTAACTAGCCTTTTAAAAGTATGAATAAAGACACAATAGGGCCATTTATACTAGGAAAAATAAGACACGTCTTAAATAAGACGCGAACGTTCGTTTTAACGGCACACTTCGTCTAAAATAAGACGCGGCTTAGCTAAGACGCGGCTTAGCTAAGACGCGTCTTTTTTAGAACAGCCCTTAACACCTGTTCTTAGATAAGACGCGTCTTAGCTAAGACGAGAAAAACTTCGTATAAATGACCTTTGCGTCTTACCTAAGACGCGAACGCATAGTACACATGCGTTAATTTTTGGCGCGCCACGTTGGATTTCCGTTGCTACGGGCAACATTCACATGAAAACGAGTCAAGAACAGAAATAAGACGAGAACCATTTATACGAGCTGTTCTCGTCTTAGATAAGACATGCTCGTATAAATGGTACAATTCGCGTCTTATTTAAGACGCGTCTTATGTAAGACGTGTCTTATTTTTCCTCGTATAAATGGCCCTAATGAGTCGCAGGGCTTAGAAGACACTATGTGAAGTTATTCTATTTTAAGAACAAAACTGTCTTATAGATTAAGCAAGCACAGCGTGACTGTTTGTTTTTATGTACATGTTTTCAACTGCTAGTCGTTGGGTAACACCTGGCCGCAGATAAACAGTTATACTGCAGACAAGAAGTCAGTTTTGTTATACTGCTACTGCGTTTTATTGCTAGTCTCCTTGTCAAAGTGACATCGGCGGAGTCTGCCTCGCCTGTTGTAGCTAAAAGAACTTGTAACTCCTTACCTTAAAATAACGCTGGACACAAAGTTAAAATAGTTTTAGTACAAAATACTTGAAAAAATGTGTTATACAAACGCTATGCTGTTTAAATTTGGTTTAGTTGATTGAAGAATTAGAGTCATTGAAACATTTCCTCTTTTTTTTCGAAACTGAGGTCAGTACTTTCTGGAATGAGCTAAGCACCATTCTAAAGATCTCTTAAAACGCAAAACATAGTTTTTACTAACTTCGATATCAAAGATATTTTATTTGCCCATTTTTGATCGGGTATATTACAATAATCACTGCATTTTAGTTTTAAAATTGTATTATTCTTGGGGAGAACAAATACCTACTTTTCTCACTGTCTTTTATGAATTTTANTCTATTTTAAGAACAAAACTGTCTTATAGATTAAGCAAGCACAGCGTGACTGTTTGTTTTTATGTACATGTTTTCAACTGCTAGTCGTTGGGTAACACCTGGCCGCAGATAAACAGTTATACTGCAGACAAGAAGTCAGTTTTGTTATACTGCTACTGCGTTTTATTGCTAGTCTCCTTGTCAAAGTGACATCGGCGGAGTCTGCCTCGCCTGTTGTAGCTAAAAGAACTTGTAACTCCTTACCTTAAAATAACGCTGGACACAAAGTTAAAATAGTTTTAGTACAAAATACTTGAAAAAATGTGTTATACAAACGCTATGCTGTTTAAATTTGGTTTAGTTGATTGAAGAATTAGAGTCATTGAAACATTTCCTCTTTTTTTTCGAAACTGAGGTCAGTACTTTCTGGAATGAGCTAAGCACCATTCTAAAGATCTCTTAAAACGCAAAACATAGTTTTTACTAACTTCGATATCAAAGATATTTTATTTGCCCATTTTTGATCGGGTATATTACAATAATCACTGCATTTTAGTTTTAAAATTGTATTATTCTTGGGGAGAACAAATACCTACTTTTCTCACTGTCTTTTATGAATTTTATATTGGACGAGGACGAAGAGTTCACGTCTCAAAGAACTGGCTAGTCAAAGAAAGTGTGAGGCTAGAATCTTCGCGATTACTGGTACCTGAGATCTTTTGGAAAAGATAGAACAAAGTCCAAAAAAGAATCCAAATTTGTAATTTACTTTTGGTAGCAAGGACTAACATTACTCAGTAGAAGAACCGGATCCCATGGAAGATTTAATCAGATCAGATGAACAACGGAGAAAAGCAAGGTTGATTATACAGTTTGGGAATTTTTTTTGGCCATGCATGAATATTTAATTTCGAAAGGCAAGGCTAGCTACGACGTTACAGTTTAAAGAGAAGGATAGCATGCAATGTGAAACTACAATAACATGATGAAATAAAAAAGGAAAAGTGAACGTTAAAAGTATGTGAAAACAATAACCGTGAAAGGCTTTAATACTTAAAGAAACTGAAATATTAAAAATAGGATGAATAAATACAAACGGAAAAAATGTGTTACATTTCATCTTTCTTATTCATGCCTCAAGGCTCAAGGGTTTCATCAGTCTCTCGATGAGGTATGCCTCTTAATCTTTTCGTACAATGTCTCTATTCGATTTGATGAGTTTAAGTGGAATAAGTGTATGTAATGTCGATCGTTAGTGGAATGATCATTGGTAAGAAAATGTTATGAGACTGTCGGGTTTGGGGATATTATGGATATATGGGTTGTTATCTGGTCTGCGGTGGTCTTCGAAACTGTCTTCAAGTCGTCGATTAGTTCTTCAATGTACTGTTTAAGGCAACGTTTGCGGCTGTACCATGTGAATAACGTGTCTAGAGTTGCACTGAGGTTATGTGACGAGTTATAGGTCTGGTTTCACTTGTAGAGTGGAATGGGTATGATCAGTGTAATTTGTATCTTCAGTTAGGTACTTGCAAGTACCACATATGTATGAGCCCCGGGTTGGTTGAGTTGAGTAAGATTGCGAGGTTTAGCTCTATATAGAAAATCACTTTTAATAATTGTAACTTGCAAGTAACTTCAAGAGAGAATTAGCTCTTTATCACAAAACATCCTAAGGCTACAGGTCACTCAGATAATCTATACAGAAATGAACCAGCAGAACAATTACATACTGCGACTAAATCGAGGCAGTGCAAGAAAAAAGGTACTACTAAAACTGATTCTCTCAAAAGCGAAAATTCTAGTAACAATGTCTTCGTGTAAAATATGAATCTAATTAAGCTTACTGTAATAGCGGAGCCCCCAATGCAATAGAATTTGGAAATCTGTGAACGCGAGAAAGTTTAGTCAAAGTACGTGCTCGTCCGCCCGTGCAAACACTGGTGAAGGGGTAGGGGAGACACAGTACGTTTCAACATCGCAGGTACGCACCTTTCTTGATTATCTTACGTGGATTACGACTATCTTGTACATACCTTGTACCCCTGACAGAAAGCATACAAAGGGCCCTAATTGAAAACATCACTTATGAAGTGACTTCGGAGCACACAACAAATTAAGTCAATACACTGTGTCAATACATACATACGGGCGCGTGCCCCCTGATAATCGTTACTAATGGTAAAAAAAAGGTATTACCGGAAATTTTGCCCCTCCGAAATAGACTGCTGTGCTTGATGCACTCTGAAACCTTTTGAACGATTATTGAAAACGTTTTAGCTTTGCGCCTTTACAGCTTTACGCATACGTCAGAAATAGGGGCAGATATTACTTTTGTAAAATCGTGCGAGACTGGAGTTTAGAGGTAAACAGAAGTCCACAAATGATTGGACTTATTGGTAGGTTTATTAACTACTGACTGAAAAACACATTTAGTGCCCATAGTAACTGCAATTGAAATAAAACGATAATCGTTGTAACTAAATCAAACACCTTCATACAATGTATCAGTGCGCTACACGTTCTCTGCCTGTGTACAGCTGTTTTAAAAGTATTAACCTCTAAAGCTTGGGCCTGGTTGTTCAAAGCAAGATAAAGAACTTACCAAGGATTTGCGCAAAATTCGAATTCTTATCTCAACGCTTGAGAACATATCTTGTAAATTCTGTTTGCCCACAATAGGTTTTTTCATTAGCTGATCACGTGATCAACCTTTGGTAAAGACGAAAACGGTTCGCTTTTGAAAAATTTGTTAGCACGAACTGAAAGAGCATTTTAAAATTAGCTAAACCGTAAATTTTCAGCTGTATATCTTAACAGAAACGATTGCAACGGCCGCCGAAAATTAGAAGGATTTGTATGAGGAAAAACAACTTTTGCCACCCAGTCACACTTGAATGGTTTTCCGTACAAATCCTTGTAAATTTCGAAATTTTCAAACTGTCGTGAAATATTTCCTTGATATTTCACTTCCCAACTGGCCGTATAAAGATAAAAAACAACTATATAATTTTGAAGAGGAAGGCTTCAAATGCTTTATTGTAAATATACCGTAGACCCCCAACAGTCTCTTTCCCGTCTGCAAGTCGTGAACTTTAATATTGCTTATAATTGAATAATATGTGTGACAGTAACGTATATCATCTTATTGTATACTTTAGAGTTCCATATTTCGTTCTCTTTTCATCTATGAATTGCCATTTGCTTTAGATTAAGCATGGACTATAGCATTTTAGTGACAAATGGTTACCAACAGTTGAGTAACTTTAGATCGTAAATCTCTCATTCTCCAGCAGTACAAGAGAGGGTTGAGTGCCGAAAGTAAAAAGTACAGGGAGGTTAAGATTCTGGTAACCATGACTACTTCTACTTTAAACTGAAAGTTTGGATAAAATAACATAACAATGAGAAAAAGTGCAGATGGCAGATAACATATTGCAAAAAGTCCTAAAATATAGAGAATTGTAATCACAGATCTCTTATACTTTGCAATGACGATTGCTGGCTGACCAAAATTATGGGTTTGTTGGTTGACATGAATTTGGTTTTGGTGGAGACGAATTATTTGAAAAACTTTGAAGCAGAAAAACGCTGTAATAAGAAGACAGAGTAAAACCACATGCCTTCTGCAACGTCTGAGCGAAGGAAAACGCAGCCATCTGCGGACTGAACCAAACGGAACGCAATGAGCGGAATTGGAAGAAGGTACATGACAAAGTACGCTTTATAAACGCGTTTTACGGTTATCATGGAATTACGCTTCATGTGTAGCCATCTATCAATCGACATAAAAGTCATTTCAAAGATGCTGACTAATGAGCGATAACTGCTGATTCCATAAAGGAATATTCCTGTTAATAAACACAGGGATGTTGTCAGCTGATTATTGACCTCTATTACCGTGCTTGCGACTAGAAATGGCAGTACTATGAGCCCAGTGAGAAGATCAGTGATCGCCAATCCACCAAGAAGAATGTAAGAAGTAGTTCGGGGTGACTGGTTCTTCCAAACTGCCATCAAAATCAGAGCATTTCCAACCACTGCAACTGGCGACATCATAGCGTTGACAGTACATGTTGTCATGGCTACAACATACGAGGCGGAGGTGCTCATTTTCACGATTTGAAAGTTTTGTAGGTTTGCGTACCGGGATCTAGTTGCAGTGTGTTCAAGGCTTTTTCACTATGATCGAGTGGGAGTTTATCGCCCCCTTTTGCTGATCCTTGCCAGCTTTTGTAGGAATAGAAGGCGGCGAGAAGCTTGGTTGGACTCCTGTCAGGAGAAGTCTTTAGATTCTGTGTTAAGCTTGGTCTAAATCTAGTGTCAGTCCCCCTCAAAATGAAGAATATTCTCTGCAAGCATTGAATTAAAATCTTTTACAGATTTCCAATTTGAAAGTTTGACAAAGGCATATTCATTCGTTATCATCGCCGGCGACTTTTGACATAAGAAATGATTGGATTCTATTTTTCCCCTCCACTATAACCAAATACAATGACAGTACCATACTGACAGTACAATGATTATTACATTTATTATTTTAAGAGTCGTCGTGTCGTAGTGATGTTGTGGGATTTAAGTGAATTTCCTTAAAGCCTTATAACCTCCTGCTTTAGAGCCCTATGTGAGAGTTTGATTAAGCTGAACTCACAAAAACAGTTTTAAATTTCGAGAATCCTATCTGTGTGCAAATGTTCCTGAGCTAGTTGTGTGTCGTTCACATTACCAATTTAAAAGCGCACAACAAATAGTATAATACGAAACGCTATCACATCAGAAATGTTGATATGTAAAATTTCATTAAAAGTCACTATCTAGCTATATCTCGATAAGTGGTACAGTATTAGTGAGTGAAAAGCGATGCAGCTACTCTTTTGAAATCCTGATATAAAACTACTTATATGATGTAATCTGAACGGGAATTGCACTTCACTTTTTTGTATATCCAAGCGTCCTATTTTATGTTTGCCTCAAATTTAATATTTTTTCATTCCTAGTTGCAACATTGCCTGGCTCAGTAATTTGAGTTTAAATTTCATTTTCCCACGCTCAATCAAAGGCCGGCGCCGTCATTTTAAATCAGTGGTATCAATACGACCTTTATGGGGGCACAGTTATTTCATTTCATGTTGCCCATTGTTATGCCTTGTGTAAATATGTTATTTAACACAAGTCGATGAACCCCTATCTCTTTAGTAAATTAATTTTGTAGGCATCCTCTTGTGTTTGTTTTCGAAAGTTACTTGAGCTTTTGATGTAAGCCGGATTTAGCCAAGACTAAATGCGAAGCTCTGTTAATATTTGACTGTTTACTTCAATTGCAAAGATAATGTTATTTCTGACGAATGAGCCCGCGAAGAAGACAGAAATAAATATTTTGACGGCACGAGATACAACAGGGCCTGGGTACTAGGCCGGGTGCACCATGGGTAGCCATATCGGGGGTATATAAGGCTGCGTATATCACGTGTACGTCATCTAGGCTTACGAACCACCCTCTCTTTGGTTTTTCTTTATTTTTGTTTTATTTATTTTTAGGAGCAACATATTCTCGATGACTTTGTAAAGTCCCGTAGGAAGGGCTTTGAGCTTGAGCCTTGGTTCCTACCCAGATTTCCTGCCCGCATTTTTTCCCTTCGGGGTTTTTTTGGGCAGGTTTTTTCTGGCCTCCGTCTGACCGCATTTACTTCAGTTTGTAAGCGGTAGCTCAGCTCTGCTAGTTTTCAGTTTTTTCCCGTTTCTTATTTTATGTACTTGTACAGTTATCTCAGTTTTGCACCTGCTCCTTTACTTGATATATTTAGTTTCTATGTATGTCTAGGTCAGCTGTCCAGGAACCGCTCTTTAGGAGGCGACATAAGTCTCGTTTGATGCAGTTAGGTTGCAGGCAATGTTACAGACTTCTAGCCAGGGTCGTTATCCATTTGTTTACTTTCAATGTCCTGCCCTAGCCTTTTATGGCAGCCTTACTGGTTATTGGGCTACGTGCCTTGTTGGGTACATTAGTGGAGATAATTCCCAGTTTTCCTGGCACTCAGCCTCTGTGCTCCTGAAGTGTTCCCGGTCCCAGTTATCCGTTGATCAGAGTTTTATTAAATTTCCCCAGCCTAACTGGCAGCCTAACTGGCACTAAGCCTGCGTGCTTCTTTGGGGGACTCAGGTCGAGATCGACCAGTTGTAGCAAATCTCTCTTTTGCTTAGCCTCTGTGCTCCTGCCGTGTTCCCTGTGCCAGTTATGCGTTGTCAGAGTTTTATTTATTAGTTTCCCCAGCCTAACTGGCACTAAGCCTGCGTGCTTATTTGGGGGATTTAGGTCGAGATCGACCAGTTATAGCAGTTTTTCTTTTTGCTTAGCCTCTGTGCTCCTACAGTGTTCCCTGTGCCAGCTATATGTTGTCAGAGTTTTATTAATTAGTTTCCCCAGAATAACTGGCAGCCTAACTGGCACTAAGCCTGCGTGCTTAACTGGGTGATTCAGGTCAAGAGCGACCATTTGTAGCACGAGTTTTTTCTTTTTGTGAAAGCTAGTTTACGAGTGTTGTACATTAGGTATTCACCAGTAATCACCTATTATTGTATTTACATAAGTACTTTGTAGGGTTGGTTCTCGCCAAGCCGTCCCAAAATAAACTTATTTGCCATTACGTTTTGTCTGTTGATGTTGTGTAGTGGAGTCAAAATTTCATAAACTCTATACTTAATTATAGAGAAGGAAAATTTAATTTCTAAAGTAGGAGATGAGTGATTCATGGCAAAAAAATAATCTGCAAGCACACCTGAAACTCAAATATCTTGCATTAAATTTAAACCACAAAATAAGGATTAAAAAGAGGCCAGAGTAGTAGGCTTGAAAGTTTTTTGCCCAAGGTAAATCTTATAATCCTCTTCCATCTTCCTGGTCTGTCGCCGACCTCAATGGCAATACTCAGATGTTGCTTCCAGTACTCTTTTGCTCGTTCTTAGCCACCGAGGGAGTTAAAAAAACATTGCCGAGATCGCTCGTTCAAGTCGCCAAGACGGAAATGAGTCGGCCGGGACTAATCCTTCCCCGACATTGTCGCCGTCTTTGTTGTTCCGGGCTCCGAGATGATCGGGTCCTCGCAATCTAGAAAGCCCACCGTCTCTTTTTCCCAAAGTACGCGCTCATATTTTCCCGTGCCTTTCACATACGCGTCATCCCCCGGCCACTATCTGAGAGCCTGGAACAGGTTTTTTTTCTTGCCAATGTTTACTTGTTGCTTGTGGTACTTTATTGCTTTTTAAAAGTCGCTTTGAATGCCCTTTCCCGTCCTTTTGATAATCTATTGTTGCAAAGAAGACTAGTAGAGGGTGCTTTTGTCTTAAGATGCTTGGTTCATTTCTTTGCCTGGTTTCAGCAATGCTTTCTTGATGATGTCAGGTGTTAACACGATGTGCATGATAGTGGGTTTTACACTAGTGGCGTAAAGTCTTCAGGTCCACATTGAAGATGGGTAGTTCCCCTGCAAGCTTTTCGCCAATGGTAGAAAAGTATTCATTTTGGATGCCTGCTTTCCCTCGGTCGGATGTTATCAAAACGCCTTCAGGATTCCTGATGGCCATTAAACGAGTCAAGGAGTTGTAACTGGCTGTTTTCTTTATAAGCTTCTAATAGGATTTACAGTCCTTGACTTGGTCAAAAAGATAGGAGTAGTATGAGCACTTCGTCCTCCTGACTTCCTCTGTAGCCCAGTTTTTAAAACCCCTATATTGGGTTCAGAGTTCATCATTTTTGGGTTTCTGTGCTTTTAACAGGGTTTTATACCGCAGATTCAAATCAAATCAAATCCTTTATTTAGACACGTAACACCCAGGAGCACTAAAGTTCTCGTTAAAACGTGTACGTGTATACAAATTAGAAAATTTTTAAATTTAAAAAAAATTATGCAAGCAACCTATACATTACTACTGTAAAAATACTAACTATAAATAGATCTACAAAATGGCTAAAAGCAGAATCTAAAACTAAAGCTATTTACAAAATTGACAAGCACTACACCCTAAGCCATGTGAGCTTTTGTTAAGAGATCGCTTAAATGACGCAATGTCTTGTGATTCTCTGACTTTTGGAGGTAACGCATTCCAACGTTTGCTGGCTAAAAATGTAAAGGATCGATGCATAAACTCCAGATTAAAGGGAGGTAGATCTAGCCTTGTGCTAAGCCCACGTAAGTTGTACGGTGCATCCTTAAAATTAAAAAAATTCACTGATATAAGGTGCCCCCTTGTCATACAAGCATTTGTAATATATAGATTTAGCCAGGGCTAAAAGCGAAGCTCCCGTTAATAAATTCATAATAATTTAAATCAAACAATAAACTTGTAATCCACAGATCAGGGCACATTCATTTGACGTTTGAGAAAACGTCTTTAGAGAAAAATAATTTGACAGTCCAAGAGTGAAACAGCTTTTACATCGAATTATTAAATAGTCTTATTTGTACACCCAAAAATAGCAATCATGTTCGATCACAGTAGATTA